TACTTCAAGATACTTTTGTCGAAGGTAAAAATTCAGATCACTGATGTATCTTTCTAATAGTACTGTGTCATTTTCCGTAGTATTTTATCAAATGAAATTTATAAGGACGCATCTGCAGGAAAAAATATGATTACACTTTACTGAATCAGTTAATTTGTTTATATCTTGTCTTTAATTATTATGCTGCATGGATTCTAGGGAGAGCCCGTACAAACGTAGGTGTAATTTAACGTCAATGTTCTTAAACTGTTTTTTTCCAAAATATTTGGCGTTAAATTATACAAATACGTATAAAAAACGGACATGTTCGGACTGTTTAATTGAATTTTTGTTAAGTAAGATGACCTTTTTGAGTTTTATGACCAACTTATGATAGCATGGGAATATTATATTTTCTTGTCTGTGCATCCTTCCGTTCTTCCGTTCTGTTCACAATATAAAACCTTTAAAACTATATACCAACTATTAGTTTGACCCATATTAAGTAGTGCACTGAACATGGAAATATTATCATGTGAAGGGGCACGGTGTCTTAAGGCCACACATTCTTGTTGCAAATGTTCTGATTAATAAACGTTCATGTATATATATCTTCCAGATTCATAACTGTCTCTTTTGTAGCGTGCTCGTCTCTACAGTAACCTCTCAAAGGTGATCAGTGGAATAGAAATATGATCACTATTGGTCTTGTTCAGTTTAACCATTGCCAAAGTGGAGAGTCCGTTTAGATGAGAGGGATGTACAAGTACGCAGTCCCGTCCGTTCAGAGTGGGGAAGTTAAAACCGAGGCCTCTATAAGATACAATGTCCTCTCTCTACATGTTAATTATACATGAAATATTTGCCATTGGACGTTAAGCAACCAACTGTCAATCAATCGATAGTAGCGTAACTTGAATTTTATTTCTGGTGAGGCAAATGATTTGAATCTTGGCAGTAAAAGCGTCACCTTGGTTTAAATACGTCAATGCCAGTAGGGAGTGAATGGTTAATTGAAAAAAATGAATCGTAAATGGAAGCAATAGTTTTATCTGAATTTTCAACCTTTATAAAGAGACAGATTCTGACAAATTCTGCTCTCGATATTTCTGAAATTGTCAGAAAGATATCCTTCTTAATACTGTCCCCGCAACAAATATAATAAAAAGATAGATATACTATAAAGAAAGACAGAAAAAAAAAATGTAATGGGGCGTTCAACTACAAAGTATATTGAAAAATAATTGTCATAATGTCACAAATAGAAACTGGGTGTATCTTGTGACTGGGTAATGTGTTGGCCTGGAACCACACACACACAATAAACAGTACGACAAGTCTGCAAGGACTCTGACTCTGGGACTAGCTCTTGCAACAAAAGACGACTCTGGTTAGCGCGATGTATAATTTAATAAGTTCAGCATGGAATACAATTGTACAGAGTTGGAACTGCTCAGTGTAACACTAAATCCAATCTGCCACATCAAAATAACAACATAGTTTATATAACAAACCAAAAATTACTTGAATAGACTTGACAAATATTTCTCTAAATGAGTGAGAAAGTTCAATTAAGGGATTACAGAAAAATTAGCACACAGATAATAATTAACAATAGAACATACAGACTTATTTATGGAATTAAAGTCTAGGCTTGTCATATACGAATAATAGACCAATTGAAGTAAAATGTTGCTAATTGAAAATCAAATTAAAACATGAAATTAGATTATCTTAATCTTCTAAACTTGTCTTTAAACCTTTCACAATAAAATTAACAAAATCCCTTTTTGAAATATTGCCAATACAACAAAAACAGTGATTCTACAAAATCTTTTACAAAATGTCCGAAAAGTCTCAGAATCAACTTTTGTCCATTTTTCCACTGTGACAATAATCAAAACCATGAAAGATAACTCGAATCGTACATGTACGTATGATAGGTATGGGATACGTGTGTTAATACGTGATCTTATGTCAGTAAAATAAAGGCGGGAATCTGGAAAACCACGTGATAAATAAAAATGCAATATTTCTACCATTTTTGTCATGATAATATTTTTTTTATATGGTCGAAAATTCCAGTGTGTAATTTTCAAAGTCTTGGAATACTTTTTTTTAACTTAAGCGACGTATTTAATCAAATTCGATGGTTGGCAATAGCCCGTCCCATTAGGTCCGTACGTCGAGTTACGTACGTATGTCATTTTATTGGAAATCTCTAGTATGTGGTATTGATTTTGCGCATAATGAAGGCCGTATAGTTGTTCAAAAATAAAACTAGATTGACTCATACTCGGCTTAATTTTGATGTAGCTAACATCGGATTGCTTTCAGGGTTTTGTGTAACTTATGGTTTTGCTTTTCGCATAAGATAAGAAAGATGCATTCCAGTTTCCTGTAGATATTGTTTTATCATTCAAATATCCTGAAATTTAGATGTTACGTTAGTATGATTCTAAACATATATATTAATGCGTAAAGACTTCGACCGATAAAACGCGATTAAATATAGATTATACCACTTTATCGAAATTGATACGATAAATAAACTTTTGCATTGCTTGTCTAGTGTTCTAAATATTAAACATATAATTGTCGTTATATATGCATTTTTTTAATGAAGAACTGAGATAAATCAAACAACACATTGATGAAAAATGGATAAATAACCATGGCTAGGATTAAAGGGGCATTAGCTACGAGATATAAAAAAAAGTAAAACAGGATTTTTTTTTGTTCAATCATTAATGAATGTGAAATTATCATAGTGAAATAATATTTCGCTATTAGCGGCCTGTTTGGTTCAATTTGTCAACATAAAATATGAAACATCGCTGATGAAATATTCACTTGCAAGTGAATCATTTGATCCCGTTGAATCCGTACGCATGTGACCTTCAATTTAACACCTTAGCTAGAGATTGGTTATGCATAAACATAGGCGTGTTCAGCTATTAAAAAGAAAAGAATGTCAACGTTGAAAGTGAAACAAGTGTAAACCTTTGGTTGACTGATTCGATCAACAAAAACTCATTCTCATACAGGTAAAAACGATGATTAACACATTTGGTTAACCTATGATATGAAATTAAATAGACCTAGAAAAGCCTAATTGCACGTGTTCGCTATCTATTTATATCTGTATTTATGTTTATATCGGATTATATGACCGTCGGCACTCTCGATGATTGATTAAATGGCGTCTAGGCTAAAATACTATATTATATAATCGAGTCCATGCTCCGTAAATTGTTTATTTTAGACTTTTTATAATTTGGATATAAGTTATATTATGTTATTAATCAACTATGATAATTTGATTCAAATCGTTGAACATGAATTTGACAACTAATGCTCCTTTAAGAGAAATATATATTCTACTGCTGAATTGTGTGTACATGTAATACGAAATTTGTCTAATCGAGGCGGTTTCGTTAAGAAATTTCAAACGCAAGCCTTGACGAGCCCAAGAGTTGGCGGAATTTGTTTCTCTTATATTTGTGGACGATATGTAGAACCACTCTGTATTTCTTTTCCAATGATATACAAAGAGATGTGTTGATTTTATGTGTTGTCTTCAGGCAAGGGCGACTTGCTTCGTGACGTCTTAAAAGCGAATTCTAAGGAAAACAAGACAATTTGACCTCATAATAAAATTTGACCAATGAAGAACTGAGATCAAATGATTTACACGTTGATTACAAACCAAATCAGTCGATCGGGGAAGTATAAATCGACTAAGCATTTTAGAAATTGTTTATCTGTCTCGCGCTCTGTGTTAACGGTTTTATTATATAATTACAACATTAGCAATTTGTCAGATCAGGCTTTCAGTTACAAACTTAAACTATAGAAATCATGAGTGTTCTTAAATGTTTAATTTTCTCAGGCCGCACTTATTTCCTAAATGTTAATTATTCATCGCCCGTGCATAGCTTGTCAATGTATATAGTTCGTTTCGTTAGATATTTTTCTATGATATGACGTACCTATCTATGTTTAAATATTCATTTCCTTGACACTATAATCTAATAAGTTCCTTTTGTATACATCTCCGCTTATTTTGTTTAGCCATTTTGAATATTTTGAATAAGTGCGGCCTGAGAATGATAAAATTTTGGGAAATAAATTCGACCTGAATCTGGATCTCAATTCCGAACGTTTTGAAATAAGAAAAATCCGTTGCTTTATGGTCCGCAAATTGTAAAAAAATATTATAAGGACCTAAGAGCTAAGGTTCCGCAGCTAAGTACATATAAACAGGTCTTCTAAAAATATATGATTTCTCTTGGAATACCCAAGACCGTTGTTTTTTTCTTGAATATCCTTAAGCAGTATGAATAAAAAGATGTGAATGGTGTACGTCAACGACACGGCAATTTATTCCCCTTACAACAACGATAAGTCTGGTAGGAATTAATTTAGAAAAGAAACTTAAATTAATTAAGAAAATGGCATACACACGGGAAACTTACATATTTAACTTATACAATTCATCCTTAAATACGTTGGCAACTATCAACCAGAGTACAAATGAAAAGAACTCTGCATAGTTCGAAGTCGCAAAGTGTAGGGAAAGTGCAATAAAGCTGAGAGTGAATAAAAATATTGCATTTTTTCCTGCATTTGTATCACTCATATAGATCTGAAAGTTTATGAGAACGAGTGCTATATAAATATCAAAGAAATTCAATGATATAATGTAGAACGTCATGATTGCCTATATTACAATAAGTGTATGACTCCAACCCAAGTTCAAATACGACTCAGAACAGGACGGGACGATCTTAAAATAATAAAAAATTTGTTAACATTGTACTCTAATCATTATAGTTTTAATTGAAGAGAGGGGTGATTGACAAAACTATTACAAATTTCAACTATGGCTTTAAGTTGAAGTGTGACGAGGATGCCTCAAAGAGTTACCGCGACTTTATAGCAGTTCAATTCGCGAATAACATGTTCAAAGGAAACTCGCTATACTGTAATGAGTCTGTTGAGCTTTCTACGTGTTCGCGTTTTTTTTTTTCGTTTTTTTTTTTTTTTTATTTTGGTGCTCCGGCTTTCTGGTTATCTGCTGTCTAGTATATGGCTGCTAAAATAATCAAAGATCTTCCTGCTGGTGGGGATCAGGAGCCGCCTACTCCTGTTCGGGCAGTAGAGGAACCTGAACTTACCAAATGAATTATGGGCCTGACCATGGCGATTTCAATGCAGACGATGCGAAAGCTGCAGAAATTTCCACGGATAATGCTACAACTAGAGCTGCAGATAAAACAATATATCAATGAAGCCCTTGCAAATCTTGAAGCCACATGAGAACACCTCCGAATAAAAAACCTTAAATTTATTTTTTTCGCAGTAGGCATGAAAGATATGAAACATCTATTAAAAAACAAGTTTCCAAAGTATGTAAAAGCGCTAACAAACATGTTTAACCCCGCCGCATTCTGTATGTGCCTGTCCCAAGTCAGGAGCCTTTAGTTCAGTTGTTGTCGTTGGTTCATGTCTGTCATATTTGTTTTTCGTAAACTGTTTTGTTATAAATTAGGCCGTTAGTTTTCTTAATTGAATTGTTTCACATTTTTCATGTCGGAGCCTTTTATAGCCGACCATACGGTATGGGATTTTCTCATTGTTGAAGGCCGCACGGTTGCCTATAATTGCTTACATCCACTTCATTTGAACTTTGGTGGATAGTTGTCTCATTGGCGATCATACCCCATCTCCTTATTTTTATATCGGTGCTGATTTAAATTCATCTGAAAGTGGTTGGACTGTATTTTGATTCAATGATGTCGTTTCATATAAGTGAAACATAATTATGAAACCAACAAATCTTATTCATTCATTATACCTCGAATCTATTGCTACCAGAATCTATGACAAATGAGACAATTTTAATTTTGAAATTATCAATTTCCTCCACCTTAGTAGCATTATACCAACTTCACCTGTATATGGGATATAGATTTCCTAACTGATTCGGTATTCAAGAGCTTGCGGCTGCTACTCAGACTTTATAAAACGTCACAAGTGTCTGAGCAGAAAGTTGATGAACCAGGGTTATAATAATATATATGGCAAAGAACGTCTCGTCCTATTTCTAAAAAGTTCATCGGAAGATACCAAGACCTTGTTGACAAATATTCCGTATCAACTTCACAAATAATACATGATGGTCTTGAAGTATAGATTCTAGGTACTGACGTTGTTATCATCTTAATTACGTGTTATGCTGTTCTTTTTTTTTTTTTTTTTTTTTTGTCTTTGAAATTTATTAACCTTTACTGTTTGGTCCATTTTTTGGTAATATCCTTTTGGCGTGGGTCAGAACTTATGCATCCCGTCAATGTGCTGTGGTCGTTTTTCGTATTCTTGTCTTTCATTTTTGATTATATGCTTTGTCTATATGCCATTTTGTTTTTCTTTGTTGACATATTTGTTTGTTTTTATAGTGATTAAGGTTATAACACAATGTTGAATGCTGCACCCCTATTTTTGACATTTTTACCTATTATGTTTGTTTGTTTTGTTCACACATTGTTGTCAATAAAATGGAATTTTATGCGACTGTCATACAAGTGAGAGGTTTAACTAGCTATAAAACCAGGTCTAATCCACCATTTTCTACATATGGAAATGCCTGTACCAAGTCAGGAATATGACATTTGTTTTCCATTGTTTTGATGTGTTTGAATTTTTGATTTTGCCATTTGGTAAGGGACTTTTCTATTTGAATTTTCCTTGGAGTTTGGTATTTTTGTTATTTTACTTTCTATATTATATCTACCCTATAGTTCCTTGCATTCTCGTCCTATATGGTCTCTAATAAATAGTTGTCTAATTGGCATTCCCTCAGCAACTCCTTATATATATAGTATACAAGTATTATGTTATTTCTTATCTGCACAATTCCGTTTGCAGTAGATGAAATTCAAGACACGGTCCTGGTATGCTAACATATGTACATCTACATGCGTTTCCTATCAAGATTTCCTTCATAGAGGGCTGCTGCTTATAATGAATCTATATAACCACGATTTTCAAGGGGTAAAATTGATTTCGTTCATTCGAAAGTTTCATAGACGTCATAACGAGTAAGTTGGACGTTATGGAACATCTGTGTGTGTCACAGATGACCACGAATATAAATTAAAAAAGAAGATGTGGTTTAATTGCCAATGAGACAACTCTCCACAAAGAGACAAAAATACGTAGAAATTAACAACTATAGGTCAACACACGGCCTTCGACGATGAGCAAAACCAATACCCAATAGTCAGCTATAAAAGGCCCCAAAATGACAAATTGAAAACTATGCAAACGAGAAAAACTAACGGCCTAATATATATACAAAACAAGAAACGAAAAACAAATATGATATACAGCAACAAACGACAACCACTGAATATAGCTTCCTGACTTGGGATAGGCACATACAGAGTGTGGCGGAGTTAAATATATTTGCGGGCGCCCAACCCTTCCTAACCTGGGAGAGTGGTATAACAGCACAACATATGAACAAACTGTAAAAATCAGTTGAAAAAGGCTTGTTCAAATTGTCGTAACTCAATCCCGTCCCATTTTGTTTCGATTTTGACATAATCACCCAGTGAGACTTATCACCGGATTTGTACTTGCATGAGCAACACGACGGGTGCCCCATGTGAAGAAGAAACTGCTTACCCTTCCTAAGCACCGTAGTTCACATCATGTTTTTGATGGATTTCGTGGTGTACAGTCTTTAGTGTTCTTTGTAGTGTTTTGTAGACTTGTATGTATTTTGGTCTTTTTTGTGTTTCGCCATGTCGTTGTTAGTTTTTTTTTCCTTCGACTTATGAGTTATGAATGTGCCCTTGGTATCTACCCTCATGTTTTATCAATGTTTTCAATCGACATCGAAGATGACTGTATTATTCTTATAAATGAAGAGGATATAAAATCCATTGATGTGCTTAGATACAGTTTGTCTTTGTGTTTACGGGTTTTTTTCACTACCATAAAAAAATAGCCCAGTAAAAATACTAAACTTTTTTGAAATTAATATTTCTATCTATTTGACTGAATTCATATTGTTTCTGGTGAAAGCTTATGTATGCATAACTTTTAACGACACCGTCATCCCAACTGCGCGATAATTATTCATCATGCATTACAGATATTTGCCGACGAAAAGTTAAACACAGACTAGTCGCGTATTATGATGTATAAATGTATAAATATTTCGTTTCTTTCGTGCTCTTATTAATATTCTGGTTTAAATTTTACTGTTTATATGCGCTCCTCTAATATGATTGATTGTTGGTTGCTTAACGTCCAATGGCAAATATTTCATGCATGTTCAGGACGACTACAGGTACGTCCTTTAATATATATCGTATTTTATTAAACGTATTCAAGATTTGAAGGACTCTCTGTTCGTTTTTTAGTTCGATTCTGAGATTACAATCATTAAACTCTTGTATTTACTATTACTATTGTTCATTTTGTAATGTTGAAGCATTTGAATTGTATTTTGTATTTTGTATATAGAAATGTATTTCGAAATAATAGCAATGTGAACACAAACAAAAACAAAAAAACACAAAAAAAACCCCATTTTGAATAATTTTGCTAGGCATGCTAGATACGATATAATATTTGCAAAACCACTACGACTATGAGATAATTAAAAAATTCTATAAAATTGTAACAAATTTTACAAATTACTCTCAATGAACCAGTAGCTTACTCGATCAACGGACTTTTCTCATATGTAAGGTCGGTTATACAAATAGAGTTCAATGATTTATGAGTCCTTGTAAATCAAATGAAGCCCTTGAGTAATTAACGGTAACATACTTTGACATATTACCAATATTATAAAACGTTATATATAATAGTAAACGTTCCTGAGCATTACTTTTAAAACGTTTTATTAGCTTTCAAAATAATTGTTACTTGTCACGTACGTAAAATTTATCTTTAAACTTCAATGTTTACGAAAAATTAGTTTTGTGTTCATAGGTATAACCGAAAAGTCGATTTAAAATGTAAATATGAGCAAATAATACTTAACTGCAAAATGAAAGCGAATGTTTCACAAAGTTTGCTCATAAATAAATCTTCAAAAATGAAAAAAAATCACTAGATAAATTCCATGTGTTCGAAGCGCTTTTCTGGATTTACCGTCATCAGGAACACACAAAGCCGAATATTTGAAAGCCAAGGATATATAAAAACCGAAACCGTCGAAGAGGTACATGACCAAAAATAATAACCAAATTCATTTAACTTTCTTAGCCAACTTTGCCTAAGGGAGTTGCAACCTTAGTTTCTTGATAATTTAAAATTTCATAAACGGGAACACTTGAACACAAAGCTGAAATATAAGTATGATAACAATGAAGAACTATGCAAGAAAAAATTGTTTTCGCATTATCAACAACATTTGCACAATGCTGTCAATAAAATTATTAATAAAATTCAAATAAAAGCAATGTAAAACACAAAGTTATGCAGCATATGCACAACCAACTAAAAGACAATGCGAAAAGTATTCGTTTTACTGAGAGGGTACGTAAGTCTTTCTAGTTCTACTAGGGGTACCCTTTATCGCATGTCAAAAATTCAACGAGTCTTAAAAATTCAAACAATTAGGTAACGTACCACACATATAACTTTTAAAAAACATTCTAAAAACATTTATGTAATACATGCAGTGTCTTTTATCCGTGGGTGTCAGTATTGATCCAGTTAAACATATTCACCAAATAACTAACCTGAAAGGATCACACAAGAGTAACCGTAATTGATCATGATTCGCTGAAAGATTTGGAAGATAAACAGTCAACAAGATAAAGTGGGTCAATGACGATGCATGTATTAAGAGTGCATTTCTTTCTAACCAATATTTGGTAAACGTTGTGTGGCGTTTGTTATCGTTTGCTAAACGCTACAAAAGTAGAAACAAATACATCGTTTAATCAGTGTTTACTGACCCTTTTTGAACTTTCAATAATGCTATTATTAAATGCGGTTCCTTCAAACAACATACGTAATAAATCTCAAGACTTTACACCGTTTATTCTATTTCATATGTATGTAAATTGTGTTGCCTATGATTAAGATTATTACTTACAGTGTTTCGGGATTTTTGCTTATACTGTTAAAGCATGGGGCACCAGAACACAGTTATTTCGTAGTGCATTTCTGTTAGACAATAAATTCAAATTAAAAAAATCGAACCTGCTCTATCTCCAAAAGAATTTTACAGTGTAATGAATTACTATTGGAACAAATAATATCAAAGTTATAGAAAAGTCTACCAGCTTTAACTTAAAATATTGACAATTCTGTGTTAAGGGGGGTATAAAATTCAGTTTGACAGTTTCAGACATACAAAATTTTGACCTTTTTTAACTAGACCAAATCACTACTTAACATAAAGATTCAGCACCCAAATTTTTTAAACATGTAATTTCATCACCTTCCTTAATATTTCATGCATTAAGTATCAAGACATGAATTGGGAAAGTGTATGAAAAACAATTGCAAGTTATACACTGTTAACACTAGGGACTATATTCGTGAAGGACGATATCTGTGTTCTGGACCATGGGTCCCTTTCAAAAGTCTCCCAACTATTGCCTTCATTTAGCAAGGTATTCTTTGATATTACGTTTATATGCTATGATAGGCACTTGGGTGAAGATTTCGCTGCATTGTTTGTCTTTTTGCAGATTGTTCCAATGTTTGTTTTAAACGGAAAAAACACGTGCAGATAATTGATTCAAAGTTGAAGTTAGAAACAAGTGTAGCGTTTGTACTAACAAACGACGAACGACAAACTGTAGACGCATTTTTGGCGAGTGCATAGTTTGTCAAAGTGTATGTAAACTTTGCAAACGTATGTTAGAAACAAATGATCAAAACATGTGCGCGCTTAGACGTTTGCATCGTTTGTGTTAGAAAGAAATGCACTCTATATGTCATAAAAAAATGTTTATTTTGATCAAAAGCTAACTGAAATAAACTTTTTTAAACGGCTTTAAAAATAACTCTGCTAAGTGATCAACTATCAGATCTTTGTTAATAGCTATAAAAACTTATCTTAATCATGTTAATAAATTTAAAGTCCAAGAAATCTAAAGTGCTGTCACAACGTCTTCTATCTTATAATGTGGACATGACTCATAAAATGCAAAACGTTTATAGTCCATTGTATTTAGTCTAGGATTATCTGATCTGCTGTCCTATCGGTAGCCTAGATACCCAAATATTGCAAGAAAACTTAAGACAAATATATCTCTCAACGGCAAAATGGTACCATACTCGACCACATTCTTCTGACCATTATTTGCCATTAGACTGTTATGTGACGTGTTTGCCGAAAAAGCAGCAAACACTAATTTTAAAGTCCTTGTTAAAACCCGTTCTGGGATCGAACACACGACAACTCGTACTCTAGACGAACACAGTACCACAGGAATCATCGAGGCAATTACGAAAGCTTGTTTTTTACTTCTCATTTCTGGTTGAAGAATCAAAATGTAGATATCAACTTTGACGTATCTTTTTTGTAATTTTTTTAAAGGATGTAAAAGTGTTGACCGTGTACAGATTTACAGATATGATACGCATACGAAATATACTTCGGTCAATCTTTTTATAGTTCTGACCTTGTAGTTCTTATCAAAATGTATCTAATATTCATTCATTTATTCATTTTTATCTTTATCTAATTACTTTTTATCAACTTATATGATTTACCAAAAAACATCCTAACAGAAATAAGTAGTTGTCAGTGATGTCACCTTGTCTTCCCTTATATAAACTTTAAAAAAAAACATAAAAACATTGCAATTTCAAACAAAAAATACTCTATAAAAATTTTTATTTCACCTCAAATTAAATGTCTATTGGCGTAAATGTAAAGCGTCGACTAGTAAATGACGAATATTCAATCATTATTTACTTACATACCATGCAAATTTTAGCGCATTTCCTGTGAGAATGATCAACAACATTTTCCTTATTTGAATGACCATAAACATTTTATAAACCAGATATGAATCTCGTCTGTAATCTCGATCTACTCATTATATACTTGTATGCGAAATTGTTCATCAGTATCTGGAAAGAAGGTTGACTACAAAGGAGATTCCTTTTTACAATTTCCAAATGATGTTAGATGTACCAGGTTTAAAAGAAATACATCAAATATAATGTAGGTTATATATATTGCATTGTATAACATATAATATGTAACTACCAATCATACGTTATATTCCAAAGATCAAATTGATATTAGCTAAAATGTTTTGGCTGATAAAGTATCACTAATCATTCTCATAAACTTGCAAATCTAGTGACAGTAGAAACCATTACAGAAAGATCAACAAGGCCAAAACTTGCATGAAATTAGTTACTCAGTAACACATATACACACATGCTCATCTTTATGCATAATCATGCTAATATCAAGCTACATAATTTCATCTTCTTGGACTTTTTTTTAATCAAATACGATCGACTGATATATACGTTTATGTTATTTATACATAAAAATAGAAATAAACATCCTAACATGTGCAACGGAACGAAGTTTTAATTCTCTTGTATCCATTTCTCTGACTTATAGCACGAACGATAACTTTATGCTATTTTTTAATAAGGCTTCCTTGTCTTAAGTCATGAACCTGTAACTCATTGATTATCATTGGTTCATATCTGTCATATTTGTTTCTCGTAAATTATATTGTTAGTCATTAGGCCGTTAGTTTTCTTGATTGAATTGTGTCACGTTTTTTAGTCTGAGCCTATTAAAGCTGCCGATACGGTATTTTTTTCTCTCATTGTTGAAGGCCGTATGGTGACCTATAACTGTTGTTATCGCACCTCGGGTAAGTGAGTGATGATATGATTGGTATAACGCCGTCACGTGGAACCCCTTACGGATCTTAATAGGGTATCATGACGTCACGTCGACTATTATTGTTATTGTATTTCATTGTTTATTTTTAACATTTTATACAAAACTTGACAGGAAAAGTCTCCTGTGCGATACGTTCGTTATACGGATCGCTGCTGACCCACTACGGATCTATAGAGGGTTAGTAATTACTGGAAGCAAACATTTTCAAGTAAAAATATTAACCGGTTTATGGTTTCTAAACTATTGCCTGCCCGGCTTTGGGTATACTTTTTATCCTTTTAGGTTTATAAGCTCTTGATTCCTATAATAAGATTTTTATTTTAAAATATTCTGGCTCAGTGCATCACTGAAATGCGCATCTAGTGCATAAAAAATGGTATCGATAATGCTATTAATAGTCTTTTTATGGGAAATACTGGAAGTAAACATTTTTCCGCACTTTCTGTATACATTTGTAATAAAACACTTATTTACTGGCTATTCGGAAAAATAAAGTTTATTTCGGGCCCCTCGACACTGACGTATATCAACTTGTTTAATGACGTTAGCAAAGTATTTCTGTATTTTTATTTCGTCCGCTTCAATTAAAAAAAAATATGTTTTACCCAAATTATTTCATTTGGAACAGTTAGAATTGCATTATACAGAGAATAATCCTGCATTGTGCCGAAATATTTACCAGTGTCTCTCTGCATATTAGAACACTTATTTACTGGCTATGAGGACAATAGAAAGTTTATTGTACCCCTTGACGCTTCACGTCGGGATCTCCGCGTCGGAAAATAGTTGGTGTCCCGAAGGATAATAATCTTTCTCTTGTCCTCATAACCAGTACATAAGTGTATACCATTTCATAGACAGTGAAGCGTTGTGTTCAAATTCATTTATTTTATAATCAGACTATTTATCTTAAATTTTCATTTTAATGAATATCGGTAAAAATATGAATATATCCTATGGAAGGTGTGTTTGTGTGTGGCTTATAAATAAATAGACATAATACACGAATATCCTCTCCTGCATAACGACGGAAAGACTCGTGATAAATAATTCATACATAACGAAACGAAAACTCGATCTTTAGGTCTCTTATATCTACTACTGAACCAAAAATAAAATGTCTAAGAATTTCTAATGATAATTATTTCGTGAACAAATTGTCATCTTAAACAAAACAAACTCAATCTTTTTCTCGTTATTGATTATACACAGTTACATATACAAACAAAATATACTTGCATGACAAAAAGACGTGACGTTTCTCTCATTATTGAAGGTCGTACGGTGGCTTATAATTGCTTACATCCACTTCATTTGAACTCTGGTGGATAGTTGCCCCCACACTACATCTCCTTAATTATATATGGACAACAGTTGGATTTCAGAACGACTGACATGCCATAAGTATTGCAAAACAGAGACATAAAAATAAACAACCGGCGGTGAACATTTTTAAGACTCGTAAAGAATTCATAAATATTCATATTTACCGAACTATTTGTCATAATTGGTGATGGTTCACAACACCTTGATATACGTTGAATATAATATAAATCTCTGAAAAAAAGAACAAAAAGGTAAAATAGTTCAGCAAGATGTTATCTTGATTATCATACATTTTGATATATCTGGTGACGTAAAAAGTAAAATAACAAAAATACCGAACTCCAAGGAAAATTCAGAAGGGAAGGTCTCTTAACAAATGGCAAACTGAAAAGCTCAAACACATCAAACGAATGGAAAACAACTGTCATATTCCTGACTTGGTACAGACATTTCCTTATGTAGAAAATGGTGGATTAAACCTAGTTTTATAGCTTGCTTACATCCACTTTATTTGAACTTTGGTGGATAGTTGTCTCATTGGCAATCATATCTCATATCCTTATTTTTATATTAACCTCTCACTTGTATGACAGTTGCATAAAATTGCATTATACTATACTGACAACAATGTATGATTATGTTTTAATTATACGTAAATAAAATAAACTGCCAGTTAGAGGTTATCTTTTAAAGTTATAGCTTAAGGTGATAAATCAGCGCTTCGAACGGAAAACGGGGGAAATGTACATTCTTTGTTATGAGAAATATCTCCCTTACATCAGGAAAAAATATTTTCAAGGCGTCACCTTCCGCCTCGTCGAAAAAAATGATCAATACGGCGAAACAGTACTCAATGCATTTCATCAACATTTAAAACAAAAAGCTAAGTGTAGTGCTGGTAAATGAAATGTCTTTTCCGAGTGAAACAGGGCTTCCCTCCCAAGAAAGTAAAAATAACTTAGCATGGCGTGATGGACGGAGAGTGTGGTGTTAAAAGATTGAGCTTTAATTCCATATTTTGTTAAATTTTCTAAAGTGGAATCGTACTTTTTCATAAATTCTGCCTTTTGTGAAAAAAGGTATTATATCTTTATAGAAAACGATATATGTATTTCGTTTGAAGTTTTTCTAGTACAAACTTAGTACGCATTGATCTCTGACACGACCACGCATGTCCAGTTAGAAACAACTGTGAATTCACTCTCCATTAGAATGTGAAAATAAAACATCTTTATCATAGAAAGGGATATTAGATTTTGGCACTGCCAGGCCTTTGATAGACTATCTATGTTTTTTTACTTTATAATTACCTGTCTTTTCTCTTCTGGTTACTGCAATGGCGGTTTAAAGTTTCGAGGATAGTGAACGTAATTGCCTGTACTGGTAAAAAATTTGGCAAGCGCAGTGATGCAATTTTTTTATAACGGCTTTATGGGAAAAACAAAATTTCGACCAAAGAGAGAGGGCGTCCTACGCCTCCCTCTGGATTCGCCACTGGCTGTCTCATTATTCAAATTTGATGGGTTACCCAAATAAATTGTTAGAAAAAAAAACAAAAAAAAAACGGCATCGCACTTGCATGAATATCATACAAACTTTCTATAAAATTAGTTATAGCGCATGTCACAATGTTATTTGAGTTCATTGTAATTAACAATTTACGTATACCTGTCTTAAATCTTAAAATAGAAACTCGTTTAATTGATCAACCTATTAACGTTTTTAAACTATATTTGTTTCCTGATTCATGTAATTTCTGTATTTTATTATGTCTGTCCTTTAAATAATGCGTTTGTTTTAATTGGTTTTCAAAAAACTATTCTAAGAGAAAGGAACCACCAAAGCAAGAGGACATATTTCTGAAAAGACTTGATAATAAAACAGAATTACTCATAAAAAATTAAAGAAACCACAAAATAAATACAACTATTAACTGTTACTTTATGATCGTACTTACCAAATGCATTTAGCTCAGAGCAACATTTCAGGGAAATATTATGATAGTAATATATAACAAATAAGAGTGCCTTTTGGTCCGTTTATTCTCTCTGTAAAATACAACATTTTCTACTTTCCTTTTCGCTACGTGGAAGCTATTTAATATATTGTATTGTGTTATATGTATATATTTGTTAACAATATGGATAGCATTGTTCTTTAACAATGCTATTGTTCTTGTAAGTTCAAAGGAATAATATTAAATTTCATGTCTCAATTCAATTGTCAGCGATACAATAACTTTTCGACACACTTTTTGTTTATGTACACGAATATCCTCTCCTGCATAACGACGGAAAGACTTGTGATAAATAATTCATACGTAACGAAACGAAAACTCGATCTTTAGGTCTCTACTATCTACTACTGAACCAAAAATAAAATGTCTAAGAATTTCTAATGATAGTTATTTCGTGAACAAATTGTCATCTTTAACAAAACAAACTCAATCTTTTTCTTGTTATTGATTATACACAGTTACATATACAAACAAAATCTACTTGCATAACAAAAAGACGTGACGTTTCTCTCATTATTGAAGGTCGTACGGTGGCTTAAAATTGCTTACATCCACTTCATTTGAACTCTGGTGGATAGTTGCCCCCACACTACATCTCCTTAATTATGTATGGACAACAGTTGGATTTCAGAACGACTGACATGCCATAAGTATTGCAAAACAGAGACATAAAAATAAACAACCGGCGGTGAACATTTTTAAGACTCGTAAAGAATTCATAAATATTCATATTTACCGAACTATTTGTCATAATTGGTGATGGTTCACAACACCTAGATATACGTTGAATATAATATAAATCTCTGAAAAAAAGAACAAAAAGGTAAAATAGTTCAGCAAGATGTTATCTTGATTATCAGACATTTTGATATATCTGGTGACGTAAAAAGTAAAATAACAAAAATACCGAACTCCAAGGAAAGTTCAGAAGGGAAGGTCTCTTAACAAATGGCAAACTGAAAAGCTCAAACACATCAAACGAATGGAAAACAACTGTCATATTCCTGACTTGGTACAGACATTTCCTTATGTAGAAAATGGTGGATTAAACCTAGTTTTATAGCTTGCTTACATCCACTTTATTTGAACTTTGGTGGATAGTTGTCTCATTGGCAATCATATCTCATATCCTTATTTTTATATTAACCTCTCACTTGTATGACAGTTGCATAAAATTGCATTATACTATACTGACAACAATGTATTATTATGTTTTAATTATACGTAAATAAAATAAACTGCCAGTTAGAGGTTATCTTTTAAAGTTATAGCTTAAGGTGATAAATCAGCGCTTCGAACGGAAAACGGGGGAAATGTACATTCTTTGTTATGAGAAATATCTCCCTTACATCAGGAAAAAATATTTTCAAGGCGTCACCTTCCGCCTCGTCGAAAAAAATGATCAATACGGCGAAACAGTACTCAATGCATTTCATCAACATTTAAAACAAAAAGCTAAGTGTAGTGCTGGTAAATGAAATGTCTTTTCCGAGTGAAACAGGGCTTCCCTCCCAAGAAAGTAAAAATAACTTAGCATGGCGTGATGGACGGAGAGTGTGGTGTTAAAAGATTGAGCTTTAATTCCATATTTTGTTAAATTTTCTAAAGTGGAATCGTACTTTTTCATAAATTCTGCCTTTTGTGAAAAAAGGTATTATATCTTTATAGAAAACGATATATGTATTTCGTTTGAAGTTTTTCTAGTACAAACTTAGTACGCATTGATCTCTGACACGACCACGCATGTCCAGTTAGAAACAACTGTGAATTCACTCTCCATTAGAATGTGAAAATAAAACATCTTTATCATAGAAAGGGATATTAGATTTTGGCACTGCCAGGCCTTTGATAGACTATCTATGTTTTTTTACTTTATAATTACCTGTCTTTTCTCTTTTGGTTACTGCCATGGCGGTTTAAAGTTTCGAGGATAGTGAACGTAATTGCCTGTACTGGTAAAAAATTTGGCAAGCGCAGTGATGCAATTTTTTTATAACGGCTTTATGGGAAAAACAAAATTTCGACCAAAGAGAGAGGGCGTCCTACGCCTCCCTCTGGATTCGCCACTGGCTGTCTCATTATTCAAATTTGATGGGTTACCCAAATAAATTGTTAGAAAAGAAAAAAAAAAAAAAAACGGCATCGCACTTGCATGAAAATCATACAAACTTTCTATAAAATTAGTTATAGCGCATGTCACAATGTTATTTGAGTTCATTGTAATTAACAATTTACGTATACCTGTCTTAAATCTTAAAACAGAAACTCGTTTAATTGATCAACCTATTAACGTTTTTAAACTATATTTGTTTCCTGATTCATGTAATTTCTGTATTTTATTATGTCTGTCCTTTAAATAATGCGTTTGTTTTAATTGGTTTTCAAAAAACTATTCTAAGAGAAAGGAACCACCAAAGCAAGAGGACATATTTCTGAAAAGACTTGATAATAAAACAGAATTACTCATAAAAAATTAAAGAAACCACAAAATAAATACAACTATTAACTGTTACTTTATGATCGCACTTATCAAATGCATTTAGCTCAGAGCAACATTTCAGGGAAATATTATAATAGTAATATATAACAAATAAGAGTGCCTTTTGGTCCGTTTATTCTCTCTGTAAAATACAACATTTTCTACTTTCCTTTTCGCTACGTGGAAGCTATTTAATATATTGTATTGTGTTATATGTATATATTTGTTAACAATATGGATAGCATTGTTCTTTAACAATGCTATTGTTCTTGTAAGTTCAAAGGAATAATATTTAATTTCATGTCTCAATTCAATTGTCAGCGATACAATAACTTTTCGACACACTTTTTGTTTATGTACACATGTACGTAAATCGATGTTTGAAGTTTTAAAATTATGGAAAAGAAGATGGAATAGCAATCATGTTTTATTGGCATAAATATTTCAGGAATATATAAAGTCATTCAAGAGTGTAATAACTATACTAGGGTAGCCATTACAATCTATTTAGTTTTCTCCTCAACTTTTAAGTGAATAACTATAAGGTTTTAAATAATTTGTTTGTTTGTATGTTTGTTTGTTTGATTTTTTTTCTTTCAAATATTTGAATTTTATTTCCACAAGTGTATTTTTGAGTCTGGGACTGAATTTCATTACATACCTACAAATTATCATACACTTGTGAGTGTTGTACCTCAGCAAACTAATTTTGCGAAACACTGCAACTATGCATTTTTGATTTTAATCCCACCTCCGTAGAATGTAATATAATGTGTAATTTTTTTGTAAAATATCCTTTTCCGTTTCTGGCAAGTTCAAGTAAGAACATTACGTAACAGTTTTTACTCTCTACAACGTTTGTCGTGTTTCTAGATTTAGGTAGATGCTATTTTACAATAGTGTTCTTTAAATAATATTTTCTACACATTTGTGTTTTTGTTACTTCAAGTAATTTTTCCTGATTTCTAAATACTGCTACGAGTGCATGAACTATATTTGTAGGACAATATACCACTCATTTTGTGTTTCATTTGTATATGTTTTAGGTATGTTTTAGGTTATATATTATATTTATATACATCAACTTGATCAAGAAGCTTTTCATTAACAATATGTTAGTTTCACTGATAAAATTTTGACTGCATCAGTTTGCTCTAGCAATAAGCATGATAAGAAGTCATCTATTTTAAATGAACAGGTAGTAGCATGCTTTTTATATGCATTCAATTGAAAATGAAATAATGCACCACTGTAATACCACCATTGAACTTTTCCCGAAGTCCGAGAAATAACTGCTTTCTAAAAATCTTGATTTACTATCGCTTAAAATATTAAACAGCAGTAAATTCAATGACAAAATTTGTCTTTGTAGAATCCACCCGTTTATGGCGCTGATTTTGGCTCGTCACCAGCTATATTATTCAATTCGCACGTTTTATAAACTTGGGAAGGTCTGTCCTGCTATTACCGAGACCTTCCACATCAACATCAACAAAATTATATCACATTTTCAAAACAAAAACATAAATAAACTTTAAATATCCTTTACACTACCATTTCTAGTAACAGAGACTGCTACTTATCTATTTTCTTGTTTGTGTATTCTTAAAAAAAAATGAAATACGGAATACCACTATTTGAAAATGCATTACCAATTATTGCGCTCTTGATACCTATAATAGTGTGCGGCCAAAAACATGAATAATGGTATACAGTCTCATACAATTACACAAGCTAGCAAGCAAATTACTTTCGACATTTCACGGAACCAGAAATACTCAAACAGAGGTATACAGCACCAATAATTTATCTGCCTTTATTTTCTTCTTATTTTACCATCAAAACTCGTGGTATAAAGATTAGAAGATGTGGTATGATTGTCAATGAGACAAATCTCCACCAGAGGATAAAGGACATAGACGTTAACAACAATAGGTTTTTGTACGGCCTAAACAATGAGAAAAACACATACCGAATAGTGAGCTACAAAAGCCCCAAAATGAAAAATATAAAACAGTTCAAACGATAAAAGCTAACAGCCTGATTTATGTACAAAACAATAAACGAAAAAGAAAATGATATACAGAAACAAACGACAACCACTGAGTTACAGGTTACTGACTTGGGATGGGCACTTGCAGAATGTGGTGGGGTTAAACATGGTGGAGGCGCTAACCCTCCCTTAACCCGGCACAACACAAGAACAAACTCTGCAACGTTAGATTCGCGATGCTTCGAGTCAAAGGAGCACCACTTTATCTGTATGTTAAAGAAACACCACACCAACCCTCTTAGCCGACTCCTCCCCAAAACAAAAATATACAACCAATTTTAACGACATGTTTATTTAAAAACGAACAACACTATCTATTTTGGCTACAAAATATATCGGCGATTGGTTAGTATTCCGCAAACTTAACTGTGCTTTTCTTATCGCAGGCGTGTTACTTCATGCATCGACAAGAGACAGGTACATGCATTCAGAAAATAACTAACTGTGCACGTTTTATTCCAGAACGCTAAATCGCGTTTAAGCTAACTTAAAGTATATGTTATTGGTCGATATTTTGGATTCTGATGCACTTTTTTGAACTGCATTGGAATATCGACGACATGATATATGTAGCATTTATACATTCAAAGATACGATAAAAAGTTTATACAAGTGGTCTATAAACGATTAAAATGTACGTTAAAGCGGTAAAAAATAGGCATTTTGTACTTTAAATTGCAATTTACAGAAAACCCCGTTCACACAATTTTATGTATTGTTATATTTTATTTCTGTAACCATTTCCGTTTGAACGATATAAATTTAAAAGTTGTTCGCCGGATTCGTTTTTGCTGTCTTAATCATAACTGTGTCGTGCACGACTCAGTGTCGAGGATCTTAGTGAAGACATATTAAATCTGCACGTATTATTTCCACTTACACCACATCATTATAACGATTGAAAAGAATTCCTAGTTCAAGTTTTTATCAATATTCATGATTTAGTTTCTCGTTTATCCAGAGAGCATTTCTGGTCAACTGGAACATACTTTCAGCATATTTGACCATTGCAATTTTTATCCCGTAATTATTCAATGTGCTCTCAAATATTTTTTAAAGTGTAATATTTGCCACGGGAAATGATGTTATCAATCATTCATGTAAATACTAAAAACGGTATGAACTTGAACATGATTTTAATAAGAAACATAAAAGATAAAATATTGCGTTATAATGTCTTTAGAAAGGATGTGTACATTCAGTTTGGAAAGATATTAAATAAAAGAAACGAATGTTAGGAAATGCATGCAAAATATGTGATTTGATCCCAAACCAAAAGGGAACTTTTATTTATATTATTACTCTATGCAAGACTTTTTAAAAGGTGTATATTTTAACTAGTCTCTTACTTTTGCAATCGCCTTTGTATGAATAGGGGTGTTTTCAATGCCCCAAAATTACAAAAGTTCTTAATCTTGCTTGAGTAGTTTTTGTGTAAAAGGATACCCCTGTATGAGAAATTGCAATAATAACGCTTAGTTCTCGCATATCTGATTAAAACAAATAATTGAATGCAATAGACCAGGGTAAGACTGACATGCTTTAGTAATTTAAACTACTCAAGTACCGCATTTTGCGAACTATCATCTTTCGAGTGTACCAATTTTCCAGTTAGTTTGATATATTTATAGGTATTACCTGGTGTGTCTTATAGTTTTGTCCTTATATTTTCAGAACAAATATATGTACTCAAGCGCATTATTATACTGTTGATGTAAGGTGGTTTTGATTAATTTTTTTGACAATGTTTTGGTTTTATGATAGTTTTGTACATGTATATAATGCTTTAAGACTTTTAACCTCAAACGTCCATGCACCGCCTTATAATGATAGAGAAACACACGGGTGCATTAAGAATTAAGAACCATACATTTTATATACCTCTATAACAATTACAAAAAAAAAAGGCAAAAATCACAAACGCTCTATTTGACATACATGTATGTTATGCTCACACTTCTATGATGTTTTCATGAGATGTTAATGTTTTGCCTTCTTGAATTTACGACTAAACTGAAATTGAAAAAAAAAAATAAATTCCTTCAATTTATTTTAAGCTCATAACTATACTTGTTTTTTTCCTCTTGGCTTTTAAAAAATTAAGTAATTGATTTTAACACACCTGAATTTGGTGTCAAAGTTATATAAAATTCTTTGTCTAATAAGCTATTCTTAAAAAGTAAAATAACAAAAATACCGAACCCCGGGGAAAATTCAAAACGGAAAGTCCGTAATCAAATGGCAAAATCTAAAGCCCAAACACATCGAATGGATAACAACTGTCATATTCCTGACTTGGTACAGGTATTTTCTTATATAGATAATGTTGGATTAAACCTGGTTTTATAGCTAGCTAAACCTCTCACTTGTATGTCAGTAGCAAAAAATCCATTATATGGAAAAGACATAAGTTAATACATCAAAGGTCCCGTCGTAATCATGATTGATTTAAGTAAGCTATAATAATTTAGGTATACAAAAAAAAAAGTTGTATTTAAATTTTCAAATCTAAATTCCTCAAATGTTTATCAACTTCATATGCATAGATTAACAGTCATATTGCCATAGGAGGAACACTTAGTGGTTTCCGGAGCGCATCAATTATCGCCTGCCAGAATATTTCCTCTCCAACTCCCTCTTTGAATCTTAAATATGGAGTGGATTGTAACAGAGTTTTGATAGAACTGGTCATGTGATTAGCATCAATAGTTCGAAGCATGATTAAAACACATGCATCTTTTCCATGGTGACGTCTGCGTTCCTGCACACAATCACATTCCCATTGACACCACTCGCTTTCGGCGAAATCATTACTCATTATTATTACGACTTTCCACGACTCTTTCATGTATTTGTCAACATTTTCTGAAATTGGAGCACCGACATCAAAATTACGATGATGAATGCAAAGCCTTATACCTTCATGTTCAATACGTTTAACAAACGACGCATGGACCCATTCTCTATCTGCATTACAATAAACAACAAAAGCATGGAATGCAAAGTCTTCACTGTTGTCTAATTGTAAATAACCATCTTTTTGCAAACGATGTAGACGGAATAAGTAAAGATAGTTCCGAATGTTAGTGTGACATTTGTAGACAGAAAACATCAAAACTAGTATGAAAAATCCAGAAGTGGATAAAACTAGTGTCATTGTCAAAAGTGGGTTCCATGGAGTACATATTACTTCCGTTGGATTATATTCTTCTAGAAGAGTATCCTGTAGGTTTTCTGGAAACGCACATTTGTACCCTTGCGGATAGTTAGACAAAAACGAAGTGTTGTTTTTTTTAATCCAATTACGGAACCACATGAGATCACAAGTACACATTAGAGGATTGTTTGAAAGATCAAACTGAAGCAGCCGTTCTAAAACTTCAGATTTTATTGATGTTTTATTTAACAGTTGAATTTGATTTTTTTGCAGGTTTAAATACTTTAAGTTTACAAAATTATCAAAAGTACCATCAGGCCAGTATCGTATAATATTATCTTTCAGGTTTAGACTTTCCAATGATACCATTGTTGAAAATATGCCAGTTGGAAGGTTATTGAGTCTCATATTCTCAAGGTTTAAAGTCGTTAACTTTGATAAATGTTTGAATAGTAGAATTGAGGTATTACTATCTGAGGCCAAATAGTTATTCCCTAAGTTTAGAACTTCCAAATTTAGAAAATACTTAAAAATACTATTTGGATCAAAATTATGTACGTTAAGCTTGGAATCAAAACGAAAATTGTTATGTGCTAATGACAACAGCCTAAGAGATGAAATATTAAAAGCAGTGGATCCAATTGTTGTGATTTGTTGATTTTTTTCTATATAGAGTTTCTGAAGGCTAGGCAAAACAACAAAGATATTGTCATTGATGGATACAAAACGGTTTGAATTTAATATCAGGATTTCTAAACTAGGTAAACAATAAAAATAGGACAATTCAAGGATAGACAGGGAATTAGAACCTAGATCCAATACCCGTAGATTTGGAGATATGCTTTTACATCCATGTGATTGACAACAAAATTTATCGCACGTACCACAACAGAAATTTTGAAATTCGTCAATATAGTTTTTGCTTAGATCTGCTATTTGAAGTGTACATTGTCCTTGAAGATTAAACGTGGTCAAACTATTTCTAGACATATTTAGCAATTGTAACTTTTGTAAAGGTGCAAATACTACGAAAGCATCTCTCTGTGCTTTATTTCCCGAAAAAGATGCTTCGATTATATTTGTCTGACCAAAAAATAAATCTGGCGGTAGTGTTTTCCAATTGTTGTCTTCGAATCTGACTTTTTCAAGGCTGTCCCCATTAAACTTAAAAAAGGCAGAGCGTACGTCTAAATCATATACCTTTGGTTCCGCTGAAATCTCAAAGTTTCTCATCCATTTAAGGTCATATAATGAGTTCCTTGAAAAATGCTCGATCGAATTGTCTACTAATGAGATATGACGTATTTCATTTTTTGTTACGTTAAGCATAAAGTTTCTTGAAACATTTGTGAATTTATTTCCTCTAAAGTAAACATTTTCAACGAAATCTGGAAGTCTAGGGATGAAAGTCAGATTTGTACAAATGGCTTCGTTTCTTTGGCTACTACATTCACAGTAAGGCTTCAAACATGGTACTGATGATGAATCGGCATATAATAAAATGTATACCAGTATAAACTGGGGAAACATATGTTGCAGTTTGAAGATTATCAACCTGAAATACAAAACATTGTTGTAAAATTAGAATAAAGAACATGTTTGCTACATCATTCTCTCAAGTTAAGGCCAGTTTGAGAAATTGAATTTTAATAAGACGCACACCTACTACTCTCGACCCCATTCCCTTTTACGTTAAATCTTTTTCTTTTAAACAAATTATTTGGGCGGGGGTCATTATACCGTTATTTACACATCAGACCGTGCTCGTTACTGGAATTTTGGATACACCAAACCAGAAACATATACCTCACATCTATGTAACAGGCAATATATGCCTTCGATTTTAGAATAAATTCATACATTTCTGTATTATTCACAACTCAATTCTTTTATCAGTCTCAAAGTGTTCTACAAGGATCAACAGTCTTTCACCTTTCATTTGATACCTAAATTACCAAAATATATTCTATATGGTTTGATATTTACACCTATGCGTAGGAACTATGTTTTTTTAAATATGTTCTTCTTTCCAGGATGTTCTATTATGACCGGGCCTGAGTTGGTTGTGTTACAGCTTAAAGGAGCACTAGTTGTCAAATTTATGTTCACCGATTTGACTCAAATTCTCATATTTGATTTATAACAATGTAAAACATTTATCCAAATTATAAAAAGTGTAAAATAAACTATATACCTGCCATTGGCTCGAAAATATGAAGATTCGTTTCGTGTATATTTTAGTCTAGACCCCATCTAATTAACTGTCGAGTTGACCTCCGAATACCTCCGATTGCCATATAAGGGATATAAACATAAATATAGATATAAATAGATATCAGACTCGTGCATTTGGATTTTTATAGGTCTGTTTAAATTATATTATAGATTAAAAATATATGTTAATCATCGTGTTTACCTGTATAAGAATGATTCTTTGTGAATCGAATCAGTCAATCAAATGATTTACCTTTGTTTCACTTTCAATGTTGACATTCTTTTCCTTTAAATAATTGTACACGAACAATGCATGCGGTATCCATCTCTAGCTAAGAGGTTTAATTGAAATTGACATGAATACGGATTCAATGAGGTCGAATTATTCACTTGTAAGTGAATATTTCATCATCAATGTTTCTTAGCTTATTTTGACAAAATTAAACCATACTGGCTGCTAAAAGCGATATATTATTTCACTATTTCACTTTCATTAATGATTGAACAAAAAAAATCATATTTTAGATTTTTTGTATATCTCGTAGCTAGTGCCCCTTTAAAAATAGTCTATCCAAATTATTTGCCCTTTACATACGTTATTTCCGGCCAAGTTATCTAGCATATATCTCGATGTGCCCCGTGGGTGTTTAAATATTTATATTGTTTATTGGCACGCTTCAGTGTGATTATCAGTCTAAATTATGACAGTATACGTTTGATTTCTTTGCCAGATTTATTTTATTAATATTACTCCATGGCTTTGTTCTTCAATTCATAGTTGTGACGTGATCGTCAATTTGCAACGAATGCCGGTGCTAGGGGGCGTCTGACACTAGCAGTGAGGTGAGAGTTTTTTGCTCCTTGTTGAAGGACTCTTTGTGACGTTGAGATGAACAACAGCAATAAAAGCGATGTTCCTTTGCTTCTGTGTTTTTTGCTGTGCATTTACTGATTTTGTGTCATGGATGAGTACCCCATACCCTTTCTATTCTGTTATAGCAGAATACATGCACCATGTAACTGAACAAATATGTAGTAAATAAGAAAGCCACTTATTAAACTTAAGCTTTAAGCTATTGTTGTGAAATAAGAACACAGAAAAAATAAGTATATATATATACTACATTTATGAAATAAAACACATACATCATGTACATGCATTAGAATGAAATAATTGGGAAAGCTAAATTTTACGATGAATGGTAAGAAAATCTAAATAAAACTTTATCTTAAAGGAATGGTAACGATGGGAATAGGTTGAGGACCTATAGAATTTTTAAAACGTCATTACACACCGAGGAATGCATGCACAAAGTTATAGTTCCATCGCATAGAAAAGCATACGCGGACTTTCGGTGTGGTGTTGCAGCGATCCGCATAGAGACTGGACGATTTGAGAGGTTACCCGTGCAACAACGAACTTGCGAAACTTGTAAAAACACTGCTGAAACTGCGGAACATATCTTGTTAGAGTGTCAAATGTACGATGACCTGCGAAATGAACTTTTTGAATTAATTTTGTCAGAACATTCAAACTTTTAAAATTTTTCTAATCTTGACAGTGACTGTGATAGTATTATTATTAATAGTGTCAAAATCTACCAATTTATTTAAGATAGGAGACGTCGTTTTTTATATCGTTAAATTTTTTATCTTAACTGTTTATATTTTTTTAGGAAATTTTTAGATTTAGCTGTACATTGATATTTATTATTATTAATTTTTTTTAATCCCGTCTCTCAAAATTCTTTTCAGAATGGCGTTAACATTTTATATTATTTTATGTATTCGTGTATTATGTTATGTTTTGTAATAATAATGGTGAGACCTAAATAAACTATTTGTATTGTATTGTTGGATGGCAGTTACTTAATCAGCGGACATTGATTCGAATGAAAAAAATGTTGATCGAAATTTTGTACTGTGTTTCAGAAAGAGTGAGACAGTCTTTATTTCATGTTGTGATGACATTTTAAGACCTGTGGTGAGTCTAATGACGAGGCATAATGGTTTAATGTTACCAACATGACAATTCAAGACCATATGTTTCAGAATGGTAATATTAACGTTTTGCTATGACCTAGTCGTTCTCCTTATTTGTTGCCTAATGATCTCGCGTGAAACATGTTAACGATCACGCGTGAAACATGTTAATGATCCCGCGTATAACATGTTAATGATCCCGCGTGAAACATGTTAATGATTCCGCGTGAAACATGTTCATGATCCCGCGTGAAACATGTTAATGATCACGCGTGAAACATGTTAAACATTTAAATCCAAATTAAAATTCAACCATTTATTTTTGATTTTCGAATGAAACGCAGTCCACCCATATATCATTCATTACGTTATCCGGTAAATGTAGGGTTGTCTTTACTGCAAATGGAGTTTGAAAGAGATTGGACATTGACCCGCTGTTTTTTAATGTGTCAAGTTCAGTGCATTGTAATAAGTTAGTGAAATTATTCCAAGATACCATTAGAAACCTATTAGACCAATTTAATTCTATCCTTTGTTACATTGTAGCATTAACTTATTTCTAATTGTTTTATAAATAACATTAATAGTTTGTAATAAATGGTATGCTTATGTTCATGTTGTTAAAATGTGCTGGTTGAGTATATAAAGATTGATAGAACTTCCTCGTTTGAATGTCTTTAAATTATTTAAAGAACATGATACCAACGGCCAAATCAAACGAGGAATTGCAGCATGGGTGATTTCCTATGGCATAATCTCCGGAAATGCATGGGATCATGGTTTCAATCATCAGTTTGAATGAAAATGTTGAATTGTATAAAATGAAAACTATACGTTATAAATTTAATACGTCCGAAGCGCTTTTAAGGATTTACCTTCATCAGGAACGCTCAAAGCCGATTATTTGAAAGCTAAGGATGTATAAGAACCGAAACAGTTGCAGAGCTTTATGACGAAAAAGTACCAAAAAAATAGCCAAATCCATCTAAGGTCAACTTTGCCTGAGGGAGTTGAAACATTAGTTTCTTTATAATTTCAAAAATTTATTAACCGACAATTTTTAGAAATGTATGTTATATAAGCAGCTTCTAATTAACACTTTTGACAGCAGTTACAGACGCAAAGCATTGACTGCGCGACTTGTAGTTGGAATTATAAGTACAACAAGAACAACTTCACATATTTTACTTTGGTGTATCATCTACTGAACACGCGAGATACGATCTATGTTAAGTGTTGAGCTGGAACAAAGCAGGATCCTTATTAATGATACATTTTATTATCTCGTCTAGGTATGATGATATTTCAAACCAGATTTGAATTATACTATTTTGCAGTACAGTATGTAGATTCTGTTATAAAGTATTAATCATGTTAATGAATCATATAATCTTAAGCTCATTAAATCTTAGTCATAATGAAAATAAATATCAAACGAAAATAGAAAGTAAGTTTGTATTACATCTTTCTACACACATTAATTGCCATGTAAAAACAGTTAATTGTTATAAAAAAGAAGTTATAATGTTGAACCATACATTTAAGTGAAACATTATTTACAAAAACAGAATTAACAAATAAAAAAAGAAAATAGTATGAAATGTAACAAAAATAAAGAATAAGGAACATACCCGATCATATTTTATTCTCAAAGGGTTCGATTCGGTGTAAAACAAACAGTAGATGAAAAATTAATTTCTGAAAAGTATTTGATACATGTGATTGCAATACTACAAATGCATATGACATAACAGTACCATTTCCTCTATAGTCGTTTACATAACAATTAAGCATGTTAAATGGTACTGATTGTTCGAACAAAATTTTTTCCGGTTTCCTTTCATTTATGACTATATTTCATGTTTAGTTTTTCCGTCGTTAAAAGCGCTTTAGTTATATGAAATAAGTACATAATTTCAATATCTATGTATCATAAATACCAAATGATTCATATCGGATATTGTCAATTATTAATTGTTCTATTGCGTTAGATTTCACACATGACTTTATTTAATATATTTGTCAATTAATATTTACCAGGAAATAGTTATCGTTTTAATCTAACCTTCAGACAGAATCGCCACGTAACAATTATCTTGTTATATGCTGACTTTTGATCAAATAATTAACTTTACAAGGTATTTCATGACGCAGTGTATATAAAGGTACACTTTAGTTTGCTTATAATTGTAGATTGAATATTATTCAAATATGAACATGTCTCGATGCAATGCTTTAATGAATGTTGTCTGATTAGTTCTTTGGTAAAATGTCTTTCTATGGATTAATGGTAAAAAAAGATGTGAATGAGTCTAGGGGTGCGATTCGGACGCATGATGTTTTGATAGCATTGTTTTCATTTTGTACACTCTTGTATATATATATACAAGTCTAAATTGAAAACAACGTTCAAACCTATGATTGCGTTGGATAAAAACCGCAATTTTTATACGTGTGCATGCAAAACAAATTTCTTGGTAGAGAGGTCTAAATACAGCACAAACAACATTTTCTAAAAGACCAAAAAAGTCAAAAAGTCTTTTTTAACAAAACGCATTTGACTAGCAGGTCGAACAACGGATGTTCTTAAAACCTGCTGACTGCCATTGGCGATTGCCAAATAAACGGATCACCAAATGTAACAAAATGGATCTAAATTATTAATTCAATACCAAACAGAAAACAATAAACTTGCGGAAAAGATAGTATACCGCAAACAAAAGGTGCAAAAATTAGTACAGCATATTCGGATTTCGACAATTAATGTCTCTTCATTGATGTTAGGAATCGAAACGGTATTTGGAAGGCCATATAATTTACATATATATATATAAGTTTAAGGGGGCTCGCGGGTTTAGATTTTCGCGCCTACTGCGCAGGATGTTGCGCAATGATATCGTAAGTCATACCTATGACCGTAATTGGCAGTAATAATTATTTTGATTATTATAAATAATCTATTTGATTTGAATATATTACTAAAGGGTGTTGTAATTGAAAACTGTAATTTAAAAATTTTATAAAATTTATTATTGCAATTTTCATTGTTGCAAATACACTTCCGTTTTGGGGAAAATGGCATGTTCTTGCCGGTGAGAGGAGACAAAGACAAGATAACATATAATAATCGAACACATGGGCTGCTTTTCATGAATACTGAAACGCAGATCGAAAATAATAGAACACGATATTCATTTTAGTAGCTTATGAAGCAGTTTCACACTTGTTTTACCGTAAAAAAGGACCTGGAAGTATGCGTAAAATGTATGTAATATTTTGAAACAAAGGAAATATACTGTAATATAAATCATCTTTTTTCAGTCTGCTATATGGCGGGAAGAAAAGTTTACATTGACAACACAGAAATTTGACATTTCCGGTTTGGAAAAATAAATTATTTATTATTGCATATTTTCCTAAACCCTTATTTTCAGATGAGCAAGAAATTAAAGAAATATATTGCTGAACAACCCCAAATTCCAAGCGGATTCAGATTTAAAACACCAATACTAGTATCTGACAGCAAGGGCTTAACCGTACGCAACGCCTGTCAAGGCAGCGAATTCCCACTAGAATCCTGGTGCATTTCTGGAGCAAAAACATCAGAACTTGTTGACTCGATTGAGCACAGAATTTCCAAAACAATCAAAAGACATTCTCTGATCATTATTTACCTTTGGTCAGGAACCTGTGATCTTACCATAAAAGAGGGGAAATGTATTAGACTAAGACACCAAAGTTCTAAAACTGTAAATTCTATACTAAGAGACTACGAAAGAGCAATACACATTGTTGAGCAACATGCAGGTGCCGAGATAAAGTTTGTGGATTGTCCCATACTGTCAATCACCAAGGACAATAAGTTCAAAGGGAATAAACAACCTGCAATATTTAAAGTTGAAGACTTCCAAGTAACCAAAAAGATCCAGAAGCTTTCCTCTGAAATCACAGACTTAAACCAGCAATTGAATAAGAACACTATAAAAGTTAACAAATACTTCACCAGAGGAAGAAAAATAAAAAGAGGCGGCTACAGAAAATCTATTAACATCTCGATCAACAAAAAAGACGGTCTACACCCATTAAACTTACCTAGCCTTGCCATCACCAAACAACTATTGCTTGACACATACAGTGACTGCTACAACGCAACACAAGAATCAGAATTTGTCCAACTAAAAGTCGAAGAAGCAGAGCTACTGACATTCTTCTAGCACCAAGCCGAAAATACTGTAGTTAAGGGTTTAGGTGAGTTTATCTTATTAGTCTTTACTACACCGTATTAATACAGAGTCGCTATAGAATATATTCAGCAAATAACATCTGCGTTAAATATCAACTTCAACTTTCAAAATGCGGTTTATCACAATTTTTATCATCATCCAAGCACCATTATGAACATGAAAAAATGCAGCTATGGCAAACATTGAAGAAGAAGAAGTACAAATAAAACAGAATATAACAGTAAACACCTTGTTAACAACAGTAAATAGACTAAAATCACCAAGAGCTTATCCTTATAAATGCAAATAAGTAACATCATATTTACTGTTCATACTATTAGCAAATGCAAATGATGTAAATCCAAACCCAGGGCCAACACATAATGACAGCACTATATACCCATGTGGAACATGTGACCAGCCTGTGACATGGGACGACAGAGCCATAAAATGCGATACCTGTAACCAATGGTTTCATATCAACTGCCAAGATATCCCCAGTAAAACCTATAGCTACCTTGTGGATGACAAAAACATCTCTGTGCGATGGGATTGTATCATTTGTGACAATCAAAACTACAATTCCTTATGTTATGATTCAACAGCTATCTCAACAAATAATAGCTTTAACTTACTATGTGAGAGTACACTTGATATGAGTACAGCATCCCAACAAGTGTAAAACCAAAACACACATCAACTCCAAAGAGAAAAAAACAAGAAAAAAGAAATAAACCACATATACCATTAAGGATACTAAATATGAACTGTCAGTACATAAGAAATAAACAACACCAAGTCCAAAATATTATAGATAGTACAAAGCCAGATGTAATGATAATGACAGAAACTTGGTTGGGTTCATCAATCACCAACAGCCAAATATTTCCACTAGATTATAACATCTATCGCAAGGACAGAAAGGGAAACGAAACTGGAGGAGTCCTTATCGTCATACGTAACAAGTTCCTTAGCACTGAAATACCAGAACTAGACACTAACTGTGAAATAATATTGACACGAATACAACAAAAAGGCACAAAAGACCTCTACATATGTTCATATTATAATTCTAAAACATCAAACAAAGAAAGCCTCTCTGAACTTGAAACAGCTGTTAAAAGAGCTACACAATGCATCTTTAATGATTGAGGGTGACTTTATCCTACCAGGACGGAATTGGACAAACAAAACAGTACGTCAAGGAACCCAACATGCATACCAACACTACCAGCTTACAGATATTCTTGATGACAATGGTTTAACTCAATTAGTTCGAGAGCCAACTAGAAATAACAACCAATTGGACCTTCTTATCACCAAGTGTAAAATGATGAGACTTGATGTCATCCCAGGAATTTCAGACCATGATATTGTGTATGAAGAAATGAACCCCAATCCAATGACAAACAACCAAAAGCCAAGAAAATTCAACTGTAAAGAAAGCCTGCACAAGAAGACAAACAATAAACTCTGGAATATGTTCAAAGAAGACCTAGAAAGTAGTACAAACCAGCATATACCTTCCAAAATATGCAAGACTAAGGACAAAAACCCATGGATAACCCAGGAAATCAAAAAACTTATGAGGCGAAGAGACCGAGCCTATAAAAAGAAAAAAAAATCAAATCATGCTACTGATATTAAAAGATTTAAACAACTGAAACAAACCATCCAAAGAAAATCAAGACAAGCTTATTGAAAATATATAGAAGACATAATAACCCCAGAAGATAATGAGGACATCCGCTCACCAACAAAAAGATTCTGGACCTATATCAAACACAAGAAAAGTGATAAAAATGGAGTAGCACCACTCAGAAAAAATGAGAAATTAGAAACTGACCCAATAAACAAAGCAAATATATTAAACGATCAATTCCAATCATTCTTCTCCACTGCATGTCCCATCAGTAATAGAGATTTTGAAAAGAAAAACAACTAAAAAATCTAAAACCACACAAGGCTGCTGGACCAGACAACATCAAACCAATAATACTGAAAGAATTAGCCAGTGAAATTACTCCAATACTAACCATCATTTACAATTTTTTAATGGAGAAAGGACAGATACCCGATGACTGGCGAACTTCAAATGTCACTCCGGCATATAAGAAAGGCAAGAAATACATACCAGCCAAATATAGGCCAATATCACTAACATGTATCTGTTGCAAAATATTAGAACATATAGTCACCAGTAACATCATGAAACATGCAGAGGTAAATAACATCCTATACCCTCTACAACATGGCTTCAGGAGTAAAAAATCATGCGAAACACAACTCCTTGAATGTATCGATGATATCACAAAAAATCTGAAAAACGGAAAACAATCAGATCTCTTAATACTGGACTTTTCAAAAGCTTTTGACAAGGTGTCTTACAGTTTACTCCTACATAAACTACACCAATATGGCATTCGAAGTAAAACAAACAAATGGATAAAAGAATTTCTCACCAACAGAACCAAAGTAGTAGTTGTCGAAGGCGAAACATCAGATAAA